AAGAACCAGAGCCACAAAAGACATCTATGATAAAGGAAGGCCCATGTTTTATGTAGAAATTGATAGCATATCAGAGTGAATTCTCTGTTTAAACTCATAGATGAGTCTTAACCCTTTAACTGCCAGAAGTGATTAACATGTAATTTCTCCCCATAATATCCATACATTATTCAGCAAACAGGTAGTGAGAATACTCAAACTCATCAGGTACAAGATATCACCTTGATTGAACACCAAATTCTCTCAATCAATTTACAAGCAAATGTGTAGCAGCTAGAGGGGAGAATTAACAATCAGATCTTGGGAGTTAAAGGATTAATAGGGTTAACCGTTAGCCATAAGACGGCAAAAAAAATTCAGCCGTTAGACGTAAAAATTGGCAAATTTAACTGTGAGTCGTAAAAAATGTGAAGCGTAAAAATTTTCTTTAATCGTAACGGAAAGTAATTAATTAATTTATGTATAGCCGTAAAATGACTAAAAATTTTAAACGTTAGCCGCCAGAGCCAGCTCCCTGTTGAGACCTTCTTGTGACTGAAAGAGAATTTGGTAAATTAGCCACCGGAGAGAGATTTTAGAGCTGACATTTGGAGCATTGGCCTTTCGTTATAGCGAATTCTCTATTCTATGTAGGCTGGAAAACTGACTTTAATGTTCTGGGACAGCAAGCTTCAGATCCTTCAAATGAGAATATTAGCTGTACCTAAATACCATCCAAATTATTCGGGCTTGTCATTATTGAATACAACGAAACTTGCACTGAGCGCGCATATACCAAACTAAGCTACGATTTTTCATTTCTAATATTTGATAAGGACAAGTGTAATTGCCATTAAGTTTCCGTACTAATAATTTACGAACTCTGGTATCATTTGGCGTCAAAACCAATGTAAATTACAGTTAAGGGAAATCGAAATTTAATTTTTCCTGCTATGGGCGGACTTAAAATCTCTTTTTCTCAAAGCGAGGGCTTTGCAATTTTTGCCTGAGTATCTCTCTTGCGCTGATATTTACGAACGATTACGGGGGACAGCGGGGTGGATTTCGACAAAAGTTATAGTGGTTGTTACTAGGAAGGTGATCGTGAAGGCAATGGAAATAACTTCTCTGTTCATATCTCCGATTAACAAATACCCAACCTGGGTAACTGCACTAAGCGTCCTCAAGACAGAAATGGTAATGGTTACCTTCCTATCTGTCACGATTTCTCTGTAGCATAAATGAAGTGTATTAGCGATGAAGCGATCAAAACTGGTCGCTGAACAATGAAGAATGAGGCACTGGTTAGAAACGTTCCCAAGACGAGGAAAGCAATTTTGGTATTGCGCTCAGAATCGTTAGACGAAACAGAATCTTTCGAGAGTATCTCAGCGATCACAGATATGTACAACGGTTGCACAACTAAACCCACTCTAAGATCGGTACACAAAACAACACATACCAGCTGTAAAATTCATCCTTTTCGGGATAATATTTGGAAATATCGTCACAAAATTCCTCCAGAGCTTTCATGACAAATCTTTTGATCTCGGTGCAAATTCAAAGTCTTGAAGTTCTGAGCGAAATGACTCAGGAGGTGTGAACAGCTGAATTAGTTTCTATCAAACTTCAACTCTTTCGTTGAGAACTTTCCTACATGACATTGTGTTTGTGGCCTAATGTAAATACAGGCAATAACATGATTACGATTGCAATCATGGTGTAAAAAACCACGAGTAAATTTTTCAAAGACAATAAAACTGCACGAGTCCGTTGGGTTAGAACAATTTGTAGACTTTGAAAAATTGACAGGTGCTTATTTACACTAAATTAAACTAGAAATCATGTAATCACC